ATTAAATGAGGTATTTTTTGTAGTTTTAACAGCAAGAAATCAGCTTCAGCACTCTCCATAAGCTCCACAGGTCGACCTTCCTTACATTAAGAATATAGTGATATTCATGCTAACAGAGTAAACACATATGTCATTAGATTGTTTAGACATCCTCACGTAATTAGCTAGACAAAAGATAATTAAGTAGAAGGATAAACAGTCCAGAACAATTTTTAGAATGCGCAATGTAAAACATATGCTTCCTTGGATTATCATATTATTGACCACACTGGATATACACACACATCTCATCCCTTCTGCATGCCCATTCCTAGCTTTCCTGATCATTCCTTGACCCACAACACACACATACTTCAAGACAATTAGTGGCGTAGCGGACGGGCCCGCAGGGCACGCACCGCGGGGGGGCCCCGCGTGATTAGGGGGCCCCGCGCCGTCGCGATTTTCAATAAACTCTTGGGAACAACTGTGGTCGGAACCAAAGTTCACACGTCTGTGTTCTCTGAACACCTCTCAAGATGTGGACTACTTCATTCTGATTGCTTGCCGCCAATGTTGCCAACTTAGCGACTTTGTCACTAGATTTAGCGACTTTTCAGACCCCCTTAGCGACAAATCTAGCTACTTTTTTGTGTTATTGGAGATTTTTTAGACTGTCATTTGTCCATACTGTACCGTCCCTACTACAGTGCCTCACAGCACTGACAGGCGGCCCAGTCAGTCCTCTACAGCAGCCTCTCCCACCTGCAGCCCGAGAGCAGATCACCCCTCTGCGTACCGACGGCAAATGATTTAGCACAGGCAGTGTGAAGGTATTTCCCTTGTACAGTCAAACCGATCTACTTCTCCTTTATTTTAACAATTTAATTGGACCGTTTATTCTTTTCTTGTTCACAATCACAGATATTTTAGTGACAGTTTCTGAACTTGTCTGAGTTTATTACATATGAGAGATTACTGCACATTCACTACACATCTATAATGATGTACTGTATTCAAACAGCAATACATTTAGTTAAATAAACATGCTTATATAAAGTGCAATTATAAATACCCCTTTATTAACCATAGGCTGTTAAATGGAAACGGTAGAACGTGATGACGTCAGTGATATGCAAATTGACGTATGACGTATTACCCCCCCCCCCCCCCCCCCCTTCATCAGGGGGCCCCGTCAGCGATCCCTGCAGGGGGGCCTCCGCATTTTGCGCTACGCCACTGAAGACAATGTTTTGGTGAGATTATCACAATTAAAAACCAATTTAAGTGTTTGTGATAATAGTGCATTCACATTAAGTGTACTTAAGCACAACGTTTGGGAAAATGTACTTCTACTACAATACATTACTAATAGATTTTTTATATATTAACTTATTTTAAACTTAGGATTAGTATGTAAACAGTGTACTCAAAATCAACTAATGTTTAAAGCACACTTTTAAAACACACTAACAAAACTCTGAGTGTTTTTTCTGTAGTGTACTTTATTGTAGTACACTAACAATTTGTTTAAGTATTACTGGACTAAAGTCCTACTGAAGTAAAAACACTTTTAATTAGTATATTTATAGTGTAAAACCATCAAACGTTTAACACAAAAAAAAATAACAACGTACTAAAAATGTATTTGCAGGTATTTAAGTGTATTTTAATAATATATTTTGTTACGTCCCTGATGTGAAATGTCTAGGAGTGGGAGTAACAGTGAAAAGTTTTAAAAGTGTTGGTTGGGGTGAGTGTGGGTCAGTCCCCTGCCTTCACGACAACACACCGAATTCAAGTTAAATAATTTATTTACAAATGTACAATAGTAAAACAAAACTGGGAAGCAAAAATAGACTTCAGGAGGGGGAGAGGCCAAAACAACAAACAAAAGTACACTAGCTAGTTAGGGAGTAAAACGGTCTAAACTTATTAAGTAAAATTAAATCAACAACAGAAATGTACATTAACTCCCTAACTAAACATAAACAAGAGAAAAAGGGTTTTAGAAACAAAATGGCACCCACCTCCCTACAGCTTCCAAACACAAAGTTAGTTTTCAAAACTAGAGCTCAAATGGCTTCAACAACAGATTTTAACTTCATCAAGTTAAACACAACAGCACCAATAATCTTTCTCAATAGTGCAACCAAGCAGGAGAGAGCCCACACTCTGGGAGCAAGCTTCAATGTGGCTTGCAACTGGCAGGCTTTTAAGCTTGCCGGGCAACGAGTAGCAGGTGCAATCAATCAACTTCCTCTCCTCCACACCTAGCTGAGAAACAGGTTGCAGGAACGGAGAGGGAGGGAGAGAGAGAGAGAAACCAAACACAATAATACATTCAAAACACCATGGAATGTAACAATTGTTTTTCACCAGGGTGATGATGTTAACATCTCCCTTATTTCAGGTCTACTCCATCACTTAAAGTAACTGCAGTCAAACTAGTTCTTTAAAAAAAAAAAAAAAACTGTCCAATTATAGGCCAGGATCAAGCTTGCCATTGATGGCCAAAGTTCCTGAACGTGTGGTAGCTGGCCAGCTAATGGATCATCTCTCTGAGCAGTCTTCTGGAACTGTTTCAATCAGGTCTCGTGGACACTGTTCAGAAAGAGTGATGAAAGTGCTCCGAGATTCAGCGGATTCTCCTGCAGCAGTTCAGTATTATCAGATCTCGCTGCTGCGTTGTCATGCTACTCTAATTGACAGACTTCAAAAGAGGATCTGTGTCTCTGGTGGAGCTGTTTGAATCTAATCTCTCTCAGTGCATTGTTTATTATGAGCCAACAGATCTCAGACTGTGATATAACAGCAGGGTGTCCCGCAGGGGTCAGTGTTGGGTCCTATTCGGTTTAGTATTTATATGCTGCTGCCTCTTGGACAGATTATAATATACAGTCTGGATTGTCATTGTTAGGATAAACGTGATGATATTCTGCACTCTCTGTTTTATCAGCTTGTTTGCTGGAAATTCTTGCAACTGGAAGCTCAAGAGATGCTGCTGTGGATGAGTGCGAAAACCTTCAAACTTACCGTGGATGTGTGGCAGATTCCTCCCTCCTCTGAGGTTTGAAGCTTGGGTTTGATCCTTGATGCACAGCTGACTTTTGATGAGGAAGATAAGAAAAGATAAGATGGTAGATAAGAAGAAAAAAAATAATAGTAGGGTAATTGATATTTTAATAAGGGTTTTTTTTAAATTATGGAGATTTTCCTGTCAGCTTGGATGGATTTAAAGGAAATGGATTTAAAAAAAAAAAAAAAAAAATATATATATATATATATATATATATATATATATATATATATA